TCTAAATTGGATTTACAAACCCAAATGCAGAAAGGAGCTAGGCAGAGAGTATAAATGGATATGGCCAATTATTGTTCACAATTATTCGCTGCTCTTCCTGTGTTTTATATAACTTCACCATTGCTGTAAGACTTTCAGGACCTCCCTTTAGAGGAAGTATACTTCCTTGCCCCACTGAGGTCAGCTTGGCCTGTGATTCGCTTTGGCCAATAAAATGTGAGCAAAAATGGCATGTACCAAGTCTGAGCAGAAGCATTAAAAGCCATTGCTCCATTTGACCATTTTTCTTGTCCCTCTGCACCAAGAACAGCATTTTCGAAATGGGGTTGCTCCTTCAGTCTGGATCCTGGAAGCCCTAGTCCTTCCACAGACAAAATGTAACGGGAGCAGGAAATGAGCCGATGCTGCTGAAGACACTGAGGCCTGGAGGTTTTTTTAGATTATCAGGTGGTCTAAGCTGACTGCTGCAAGCATCAGGTGAAGGACTTGGCTAACTCAAGAAAGCCTATCTGTCCTAAGGGACAGCCAATCCTCCCTCGGCTCGGGTGGATCCTCACCCGGCAGGGACGCAAGCTCACTCTTGGCAAATCTTCCCGATGTTTACGAGGGGCCAGATTTTTAATTAAATCCCCTCCTAATAAATGCCTAATATGAACAATACATACCTTCTCTTCATACCAAAAGAAGAAAGAAAAAATAATAAATCCCCTCCTGATTTTAATTAAAATATAACACCTTCTAAATATTGACAACTAAATCAATATGTTTGGAAAGACACTTAGCGCCAAATCAAATTAAGGAATACATTTGCAATCTCTTCTCTACCCCTCAATTTTCTCATGTGTAGAATAAGAATAATACAGGTATCCCTCGCTTTTTGAAATTTTCTTGTGCTACTTTGCTTTCACGAAAGACCTACCTACATAAGAGCCTGTTTTCAGTAACCGAAAGAAATCCGAAGAGGATTCTCGCTTTTAGGGAAAAAGGCAAAAAGTGAAAATAGCATCCAGTGTTTGTCGGACAGCTGACAGCAGTGGAGGCAGCCTGAGCAGGGAGAGCAACGAGAGCGGCCCAGCCCAGCTCCTTCCGCTGGAACTCCTCTCAGCATCTCCCACACACAGCCACCCCAGCCTTGAACTGCACCCGTGAGCACCTGTGCTTTATCTCGATTTATTTTGTGCATCCGTTAACAAGATGTGTCCTAAGGTATTAGAAAAGCCTAAGGGAGGTTTTTGGAGGGGCGCGGTTCTGGAAACGCTCAGGTATGTTTCCATATAGATAGTAACCGCTTCTTTGCTTAATGCCATTTTAGCCTATGAAAAGTTCCATGAGAACGCTCTACTTTCCGATGGCAGGGAAAACCTGTATCTGTTCTACTTCCCTAATTGGGTGATTTTGAACATCGGATTGGTCTAAATTTGTATTTATTTTAATTTTGCAATGGTAAGATAACAAAAGAAGGTCGAGGAAAGAAGTGAAACCACTCTGGCAAAGCAGAGTGGTTTAAGTTTCCTCAAGCCAACAGGCTCCTAAGGAGGCCCGCAGTTGAAGCCACTCTGTCTCAACTTTCCTGTCCCTCCCCTCCTCTTCAGTTCTCCATGCAGAACATAAAAAGTAGGCTTCTCCACAGGCAGATCAGACTAGCATGAAATCATTGTGAATCAGGACAGTGTGATCCTGAAATAGTTGGGACATAAGTAATTGGCAAAAAGGGATAATCCCCCATGGTGAATGAAACAAGTTCGAGCTAAATTGATAGATCCAGATTGACTTTCCTATTTTGCCAAATTATACTTCATCCTTCGTCTGGGCCAGTGACACTCAAGAAAAAAATAGCCTAAAGACATCCAGTAGCAAGAAATTGAGATAAGGTTTCTATGTGTGATTAAATGTCTTAAAAGTATTTGTTTTTTTACTTTCGGCATAGACTCAAAATTCTCAAAAGATATGTAAATTTGTCTGACCCTTTTGCATGATGTATCTTACAAGTAGGGTTTCATGGTGATTCTGAATATGTGTTTCAGTAAGAATGTTAAGAAGATTGTGGAAATGCGTGCAAGGGAGAAGTATTAATCCGATGTATATTTTTTCCGTTGCATCTCGAGATCTCACATTTTTCCTTCCATTACATAGACATGCCACTAGAGGTCACTGTACAGTCTTCCGCGCACCCTGCGTGTAAGTAATGCTGGGTCTGACCTCCAGTTTCTACACTGAGACCCTTACAGGTTTTGCCTGTCTTTAATCAAACTAGCTAGTGTCAACATATCTGCCTGAAGGAAGCTACAAACCCATACTTGACCCAAGGTCAATTCCCACTCCCCACATTATTAAGAGCTAACTAGTCCTTCCAAGTGACGGAGAGCAAAGCACCCATTTCTTTCCTGTGGCTTCATGTTCATGTAGGTGACTACCTATGTCATCTGGTGGCCAGCACTGATGACAATTTACTGACTGCCCTTCAGCCTCTGTAGGGTATTCTGCCAGATGCTGAAGGTAGAACAAGGGAGATAAGACTTACAAATATAATGAAAAGGACCATGCAGGAAAACAAATGAACTAGCCTAAGTGCTATAGGAGTTCTGAGAGTGGTTAATGAAGTGATCCGCTAGGAAAGCAGGAGGTCACATGAAGAAAAGTGTTCTCAACGGCCAAACAGTCCAGGTGGAAGAAGGTATGAAGGCTGGATTTTAGACTGATTTTCCTTTTCTCCTTCTGCCTTAGAAAGAGACTTCCATGCTGGGGGTAGCCTGAAACTAAGATATAATTTAGGAGACAGTTGATAGACAGATGGATAGATGGATAGGTAGATAATAGATAGATGATAGATCCACCTCTGTTCCTCAAGATTGCCTGAAAGAAATTTCTTTTCTCTGCAGTGCAATATTTATTTATTGATTGATTTGACAAATCTTTATTGTCAACTGTGCCCCAAGCACTCAGTGGTAAATAAGATAGTCACAGGCAGGGCATGCACACTTAGAATTCATAGTCCAGTGAGGACACAAAGATGACTGCAGTGCAATATGTTAAGTCCTATGATAAGAGAAGAGCAGAGTGCAATAGGAGTACAGAACCGGGGCCCCTGATGCAGACAGGAAGTTAGAGAAACCTTCCTGGAGGAAGTACTCTGAAATTGAGATCCTAAGCATAATAGAAGTAGATCCTGTAAAAAGACAGTACGTGTGTTCCAAACAGAGGTAATAAGCACAGAAGAAAAAAAAAAAAAAAAAGAATCAAACAGGATTTTATTTTTGTATATGCAGTTTTGGATCTTGCCATTTTCTGCTTACTTTTTTTATCCTGAGTCTCCATATCAACTGTTTTTGAAAATATCATTTGATTTTATTTTTTGAAAACGTGATTTTAATAGCTGCATAGTAATCCATTGTGAGGATAGTGACTCATTTATTTACCTATTTTCTTTTTTTTTAATGTTTATTCATTTTTGAGAGATAGAGCATGAGTGTGGGACAGGCAGAGAGAGAGAGAGAGAGAGACAGAATCTGAAGCAGGCTCCAGGCTCTGAGCTGTCAGCACAGAGCCCGATGCGGGGCTCGAACCCATGAACCGTGATTTCATGACCTGAGCAGAAGTCGGACGCTCAACCGACTGAGCCCCTTGTTTACCTATTTTCAAAGGGCAATAGCATTTTTAAGGCTCATGATAATTGTTCTCTCCTTAAAAGTATGAAATCATGTGACATAATCTTTACTGATCATAATAATATCCAAAATAAATCTCCTTTATTTGAGTATCTGTTGAAAACAATTTCTGCAACCCAATCTGATATCCAGCCATAGCAAATACTAAATTAAGCAAGTTATTCATTTACTGAATATTGGTTACATTTAATGATTTGTAAATTTTGCTGTAATTGTTTTTGCATGAATTGGCACAGGCTTCAGAGGGGCTTCAGGATTCTGGGGCTTTCACATTCTTACGCTGTCTCTCAGAGACCCCTCTGTGTCCCTCAGTCTTAGTTCCCCCTCAGGTCTGCATCTCAGTGCCTTCTCTATCCCCTCAGAACCCCTCTCTGGGATGTTAGCTAACATTTATCTCCATATTTTCCCCAGTAAATGATTATTTTTTTTTTTTTGTCTGTGGCTCCACATCCTGTGGCTGCAAACCACTAGTTTCCTAAATAGTTTCTTAACCACATTTTGGGTAAAAATGTACATATAATTTCTTTGACAAATTGCTGACATAGCAAATTGATTTTCTGGGTCAAACAGGAAAGATATTCACGGCTCTCACAGGAAGGAGATCACCTTCTTTAAGCTGTTTCAGATTTAATTCATATGATTTTTTTTTATGCCTCCCTTTAAAATGGATATGCCTCAGCCTTCCATAACCCACATTTTAACCTGCTTTACAACAAGATTTTTGGGTTGTCTGTTTTTGGTTTTGAGCGTTTGCATTTATTGCCTTGGCATTCACTCACGCTTACTTAGTGAGGCATATTTTGGAGAGAGATGATTCACTGACCGCAGCCATGTGGGCACTAGCTGTTGAATTGAAATGCTGTTTTGAATTCAAATTTCCCTGTGTTTCATGTACTCTCATATCGCTGTGTGGCTTGTCGTGAGTTGGAGAGTTCTTTCAAACCCCAGAGCACTCAGTGGTAAGGTAACCTCTCAAATACATTTATTTCGCGTGTAAGAAGTCATTGTCGTTCTGGCCCAGGAGAACACCTACATGAAAACCAAGAAGGTCTCTAGCTCCCTGATAGCTACCCCAGCCTTGCTCAGGGCCCCAGTCTCAGGCCATCAAGGTCCAATTCCTCTTCGTTCAAACGGGCAGCTTCTGGAGACCACTGCCTTGCAATGCCCACTTAATTTATGCAAAGTAGACTTAACATGTAACAGCCAGTTCCCTGAAGTGAAGATTTTACTTAACACTTTAATCGGTGAAGCCGCTATCCATGTATCTTTATTGACAGATGTTTCACAAATTTGCATAATTTAAAATGCCTCCCAGGCCTGTCAACTGATGCCTCAGAAAGGTGTGTCGGAAAGATAACAGAGTCCCAGCTGGGGCCACAGACTGCACTCCAGTTGTCTTTGGTGGTTTTCTGGTACTGACTTTTGAGAGCCAGCTCATGATCTCAGGATGTATGGAAAAACAATAATACTAACTGTATTACTACTCTCAGGTAAGTACATTTCTTTTTGTAGCATGATGCTGTTATAGTGGATGTCAGATTATAGGTTAAAATGTAAACTACCTGATTTTAGTTCTATCTTACTTAAATGAATAAATAAATGAGTAGTATCTCAGAGCCCAGTTTGGTGGATGGATTTCTATTGGGACTCAGCTGGTAAGGTGGAGGGAATTGGGTTAAGGAGTTCTGTAATTGTGGCTGGATCACAATTTTCCAGCAGCATGCTTCAGTTCAAAGCCTCGCCACAGTGAAAAGAATTGTACCAAATATAATGAGAAATGTCTCTGTGTGAATAAATGTATTGCCTTATTTGTGCTTAATGAGGTTAACTTCTAAATTAAATGGTCGTTAGTGAAAGTGTTGGTGGATATGTGATCCTGAGTTTTCAAAACGTTTTGTAAAAAATTATAATCGCCTTCACCCGCCAAAAAATACAAGCTACAAGCATGAAGTCTGCATCCGTGGGGGAGCTGTTTCCCACGCTTTGGTCTTTTACTGAGGTATGATGGAGGAAGAAGAAAAAGCAGCTTATTGGCTTAAGTGTTAGGTGGTTTGGGGAGAAATCAAAATCAATTCATTAAGATAAAGAAATAATGTGGAGTATTACCAAGTTGTATTAAATTAGCAATATTTGGGGCCTTTTTCTGAGAATGTGATGGTTAATGTCTTCTCAAATGCATTGTCTACGTGTTGGAAATGCATAGATAAGGAGCAGGCGGTTACTTGAAATGTATGGAGCCCTCAGACATGGCTCTAACTCAAATTGGATCACAAAAGGATCTACTGGACACTCTCTAGGAGATAGAGAAGGGAGCCAGCATTTTCTAAGATATATTAGCCAATAAAAAAGTGTAATGGTTAAAGCACAGGGATGAGGAAGAGACAGCACTAAGCTCAAACCTGGTTTGACATCTGAAAGGCTGGGGGACATTAAGGCAAATTATCCTCTTTTCACCTCCCTATCTTCATCTGTAAAATGCCTACAGTGTTGGTACCTGCCTCCTACTAATGAAATAGGGACTATACAAAGGAATAGCAAATTAGTAAATAATTTAGCTATGATAGTATTTACTGGCTAGGGAACAAATCTGGGTGTGTGAGGATGATTTCTGAGAAGTCAGGGAAAATGGGACAATTACAGGAAAACAGGAGACTAACAAAATTACTCTTTTTTTAAGTAGCAAAATATGAAACCATTTAGCTTGAAGAAAAGAAAACAAGCAGAAGGGATGCAGTATAATATTTAAATATATTCCAATACTTCTAGAGCTATTACACAGAAAAGAGGCACTGTGCTGTTCAGAGGGCAAAGAAGGCCTACTCAATCGAACTAGATACATTACCCAGTTTTTTGTGGCGGGGGGTGGGGAATATTTGGAAAGGATTCCTGGAGAAGAAATAAATGCTTCATGTCTACAACTGCTCAAGTGGATAGTGTACTAAGGTCTTCAATGACAGTTCATGAGAGGTCATCAAGGCCATGCGACCCCCAAAGGCCCCCCGCGGCCCTCATTGCAAATGCTGCCATCATCTTTGCGTTTTCTGAAACCATCCAAAGACATTCTCTGGAATAATGGAATAATGGAAAGGTGTTTGAGCACCCCCTTACTCACTAGTTTAAGTAGAGAACCTGGAAAGTGGTTTAAACATCTTTGGCTAGGGGAAAAAATAAAGAAAAGATGATATTTCTTTCCCTGGAGATCTTGAGGGTAAAGCCACTATTCCTAATTCTAAATTTATCAGATGTCATTCTCCAAATGGAGAGTAAGTTCTCTTGAAATTATTTGATTCCCAATCCCTGAATTCATTTACTCATTTGTTCGTTCGGCGCTTGTGTGTCAGGTGCTGGACACGGAGGCCACGCCAGTAGGAGCAGTGAGCTCCTGTGGAGCACACAGTCAGGGCATTGAGAGGGAGCACCAGCCCTAAACTGAATAAGTAAATCACTAACATAAGAACGATGATAAAGAACACCAATAAAATTAAACCGGGAAAAGCGATAAACATAATGCAGAAGGCTGATTTACAAAAGGGTAGCAGGAAATTTTTCTCGGAGTCAGTGACATTTATGAAGAGAGGTGAACGACTGGAAGAAGCTGACCTCGCAAAAGTTGGGGGAAGGACAAAGGCAACATTTCTGACACTGGACAAGAGTGTGTTCAATGCTTTTATTTGGAACTCAGATTCGGACACTAAGAAGGAATTTGAGAATGCACCATTGTAACACTTCAACCAGGAAATTCATAAACCAGGACCCTCTAAAGTAAACCCTCAGTTTCCTGGTTTTACTTTAAAATTTGTGCAAAATTTGCATCCTAGGCCATAATTTATTGATTTAATTGGAAGATCCCAAGGAACAGGTGTTATCACGGGTTTTATTCGTTAGTGTATCTCCAGAATCTAGCACAGCTCTTGACATGTCCTAGGATATCGGGTGAATCAGCAAGGAAGCAAGTAAAGGGAGGGAGAAAAAGGGGAAGGGAGGGAGGAGAAGGAAGGAAAGAATATTTGTTTTCATTTGTCTAGGCAAAATGAGAGCTCTGTGTAGGTATACCATGATACCCTGGACATCTTATTCCATATGTCAGCAGGTACATCAGTTTGAAAAGCACATGCTTAGAAGGAGTAAGTAAAGAAACAGCCATCTCCGTTTTCTCAGCGATCCAAAAAGAGAGCCTTTCTGTCCATGTAAATGTTGTAGGGAAGAGTTCTGAGCTGGGTTTCAGGGACTACTTGAATTTCTTACTAGTAAAACCTGTGTCTTTATTTATGCATCCCACACATTGCTAGGCACATAGTAAGCACTCAATAAATAATAGTTGCAGAAATAACAAATGACCAGAATTTTGCAGCAGACTAGTTTCACTGTGGAAAATCAATCCATCCTCATGGGCATCCGTTTCCTTGTCCCTATTGAATAAAACACAGAATAGATAGTACCTAAAATCCCTTCCATCGCTTAACTTCTATGAGTTCCCAAAGGTCAGCCTGAGATGACCTGTAGCCTTGTTCCCAAACCTATAAATCTCATAATCTTGGGGTAAAATTGGGTTTTTAGGCAGAAACGGACACCTCACTATGAATGCCTGGGGAAGGATCCCTCTAAGAAGGGAAAAAAGAGACGGTACCTCAAGACTGACACCCACTAATTTTAAATTGGCAAACCAGATTTAGCATTCCTGTGATGGATTTCTTTTTACTTTGGTTTCTAGAAGATTATTGAAAACATCTATGAACCTTTTGGGGAAGCACATTTTAAGTAATTTCCTCAACTTGTCTTTATAGGCTATAGTTCCTCTCAACTAACTACTGAAAGTGTCTCAGTGACTCACGAATCACCAGTAAGCGCCATGACTGTTCAATCACCACGTAAGTTGCCAACAAAAGTAGATGGGTAATAGATTTCCAGCCATTATCATCATTTCTGCATATTTAATTAGGAAAAGGTAAAAAAAAAACATAATTAGGAAAAGGTAAAAAAAATGTAAAAGGTAAACTGAACAAATAATCTTTGCTTTCTAAGAGGCCTCTGTCATTAAGCAATGCTGACAAATATGAACAGGAAAACCAAGATACTGGCAGATGCATTTCATTGTGGTTACTCAAATAAACTTGGTTAGAATGTCTGCTGACTCTTATTTCAGGAATCTGATAGAGAAAAAAGCAAGAATCGTCGGTAAACAGAGGAGATACACCATCATTACGAATTTTCCCATTTTCAACTTTTAATAGGGCTTGTTTCTGTTATGATACACAACTTGTGCACATCTGTTACAATACACAGCTCATACATATCTGTTATGACACACAACTCTATTGTGATACAGAACCCCAAGCCGCCAACAGCCATACTCCAGCAGCTAAGAGTATCAGAAAAGTGTCAGACGCATAGAACCTTGGGACACCGTTCACTAAGAGACTTCTGTAACATCATGGGAGCCAGGCCCATGTCTGCCTCAGAAAATTAAATGACTCTAAAACCATTGTAGGCCCCAAATCATAAAATACCATACATTCTTCTCTCTGTCCCCAGGCGTCATACCAACTGCCAGATCAAAGGTGCTGGAGGAGATTCCTGACATCATCTCAGCTAAAGCTTCATCTCCTCTGATATTTTGGAATCAGACTCAAATTTAGCAATTTGCTTTGAAGATACAAGCAAAAGGCCTGGGTTTCTTACCAAGAAACCGACATAACTGACAGAAGTGTTAAACTTAAGCAATTACCCAGTGATAGAGACAATGAACTGTCACCTTTACAAAAACCATATGTAAAGAGGGAACAAGGGTCATGGCATATATTTAACTTTTCATGTATTCATTCAAGAAAAATTAGAAAAGTATTAGTTCAAACTGAACACTTTCTGTATATCAGGCACTATGCTAAGCCCTCTACGTGGATTTTATTCTGATAATAACTCTGTGGAATAGGTATTATTCCCATCGTGCAGATGAAAAAAAGAGGTTCGAAACGTTTTAAAAACTTGCCTGAGGACATACAGTCAGTGAGCAGGAAAGCTGGATACAAATCCAGGAGGTTTGACCATAGAACCCTCAGCCTTACCCAACATATTCTACTTTCTTCCTCAAGAGAGGAGAGCATCATTCCTGATCTGCTATCCAGAAATAAGCACTGTTGATATTTTGGTACAAATATTCCAGATGTTTTTTTCTAGGCATGTTTATAAATATGTACTTCAAAAATTACTGTAGGGGCTCCTGGGTGGCTCAGTTAGTTAAGCAACTGACTTCGGCTGAGGTCATGATCTCACGGTTCACAGGTTCGAGCCCCGCGTCGGGCTCTTTGCTGACAGTTCAGAGCCTGGAGCCTGCTTCAGATTCTGTGTCTCCCTCTCTCCGTTCCTCCCCTGCTAGCTCTCTGTCTCTTTCTCTCAAAAATAAATAAACGTTAAAATTTTTTTTAAAAATTACTGTATATAATATTCTGAAAACTGACTTTTCCTCACTTAAAAAACATCTATTCCATATTAATGAGTACACTTACAAAACATTTTAATGGCTCCACAATATTACATCTGATGCCTAACTATGGTTTGTTTAACCTATGCCGTGTTTCAAATATTTAGGTTGTTTCTACTTTACAGTCTGTTTTTGTTTGTTTGTTTCAAGTTTTTATTTAAATTGTAATTAGTTAACATATAGGGTAATATTGGTTTCAGGAGTAGAATTTAGTGATTCATCACTTACATACAACACCCAGTGCTCATCACAAGTGCCTTCCTTAATACCTAAAAAACACTATGATGGACATCCTTGTAGATTCATCTTTCTGTGTCAGAATATGTACTTTTTAAAGATTTTGATGAATATTGCTAAATTTGCTTCCCCAAAAGTTATGCCAAAGTATATACCCATCAGTAAATTTTGAAAGCATCTTGTCTCAGTACCTTCTTCCCAAATTGTGTCCCAGAAATCTGTATCTGAAATTAAGGTTAAGTGAAAAATATGGTGTATTTATGTTTTGACTTTTATTTCCTTGATTGCTAATGAAAACAAACCATTTCTGTGTGTGTGTGTGTGTGTGTGTGTGTGTGTGTGTGTGTGTTTGTGTGTGTGTGGGTTTAACAGCTTTACCAAGTTATAATTTGCATGCAGTGAAATTCACTAATTTCAAGTGTAGGACTCGAGTGAGGTACTCACCTCAGGACCAAATTTAAGGGGGCACCAAAACCTTAGTCATCAAGATAAATACTTTCATAAAGTATTTTTTAAAAACTCAAAATTAATTCAAAAAATCATTGATGAATAACATGTCAGAATGTTAAACATAGCTGGGATCCATCAGAGTCAGGTCTGAGGTGAGGTGAGTGAGGTGAGGCAAACCAGTGCCAGGTCAGATCTCGGCTTCCAGTGGGCAGTTATTGAGAAGAAACATCTTAATCCACTCAGCAACTGAGCAACTGAGTTGCAGCTAGCAATCCATCTTTTTGAAAGCTCACTTTCTGTTCCCCGCCCCCCCCCCCCACACACTTCTAGGGAATAGCACTTTGGAGGCCCCAACTTAAAAATCTCATGGCGTTTATTTTAAAAAGTTTTTTTAGAATAAGAGGTACCTGGCTGGCTCAGTTGGTAGAGCATATGGCTCTTGATCTCAGGGTCGTGAGTTTTGAGTGCCATGTTTGGTATGGAGAGTACTTGAATAAATAAACTTAAAAAAATTTCTTTTTACACGTGTTGAGTTTGTCATGACTCCCACTCCTCCTCAGTGGGCCCTGAACCCCTAGTTCTGTGAGACCATTAAAATCTCTCACAAGTTTCAGGGCCTCTCAGGTCTCACTTGAAAATAGACAAATGTCTTCAGGGGAAAGCCAATGGCAAGCTCACCTCTCTGTACTTCCTCTCCACCTTCAGAGCCTACTGTCTTGGTAGGCTCTGATGCCCTCTCTAGATGTGTTAAATTTGCTCAGCTTTTCTACTTGTTGTGGACAGGAGGCTTGATCTGCAAGAAGCTAGTTTGCCTTGACTGGAAGCCAGAAGTTTTAGTTTATTTCTCCAGATGAGTTTCAGAATCATTTGGGAAAGTTATCCCTTGTGCAACATAAAAATATTCCCAGGGTTATTTGGCTAGAATGGAATGAATGATAGAATGAAATGAATAAATTGACTCAGAGCAAATAAAACATTTTGTAATAGTAAATCTTTGAATTGGGAAGATATCATGTTTTTTCACTGAGCCCTATCTTATGTCCTCTGAAGAGTTTGAAAAAAATTCGGAAAAAAATTCTGAAAAAAACTTTAGATAAATTTTATGTATTTCCTTTTGAAGAGATATTTTACATGTCCTTTTATTGTTTTAATTAAAATATATTTCATTACATTTTCAAATTGTTTATCAATGGCCTAAGATGAATTTATCACTTTGTATACGTTCATTTTATAAGTGACATGGCTAACCTTATTTGGTTAAAATAGTTGACTCTCTTCAATTTCCAAAATTAAGAATCATATTCCTTATAAAAGTGAAATTTTGTTTCTTCTTCACTTGGAATAAATGTTCATAGCTGCTTTTCTTATGATATTGCATTTGTTAGAACTTCTAAATGTTATTTATGTTAGTTAATGCTGCATAATGGTCGTGATAGTCATCCTTGTCTTGAGACGGTCTATAATATGAATGTCTCGCCATTAATTATGATGTCTGCGGCTTTCAGCAAATAATCCTTATGTTAAGAAATTTCTTGCTAGCATTAAACAAAGAGCTTTAATCAAGAAAAAGAAAAGATCTTAAATTCTATAAAATGCCTTTTATGCATCATTGTTGAAACTTTGAAAATTGACTTCCATAGCTTAATGGTAAAATAATACATTTCCTGACAGTTGTCACAAGAAAGAAAGTATCTGTTATACCTAACATAACAGAAATACTTTTTAAACTTTTGTTTGGTTTTCTTTAAGAATGTCTGTTCATCTTATTAGTTTCTATTTATTTCACAGTATTTTTATTCTTCAATATGTTGAATGATGAATTATATCAATGGATATTATCACATTGCCCTATACCTCACATCCTAGTATTAATCACTTGGCTATTGTAAAGTATTCTTTTAATATCGTGCTGAATTTAATATTTGTCTTAGGATCATTTTACCTACATTTGTCATATATAATTTTTTTTGAAATACCTTTGTGAGTACACATGCATTTGCTATCAAAAAGTGAAAGAATTTTTGCCCATTTTATGTAAAAATAATTCATTAATCACTATGTGCAAGTTTTAAGTGAAAGATATTTTGAAGAAGAATCATCTCTTCCAATTATAGTAGAGGATTTTTTTTTTTATTTTTTTTTTAATCTTTATTTTTGAGAGAGAGAGAGACAGAGTATGAGCAGGGGAGGGTGCCAGAGAGAGAGGGAGACACAGAATCTGAAGCAGTCTCCAGGCTCTGAGCTGTCAGCACAGAGCCTGACGTGGGGATCAAAGTCACAAACTGCGAATCATGACCTGAGCCGAAGTCAGATGCTTAACCGACTGAGCCACCCAGGTGCCTCTCTATTTGGGGATTTTTGTTAAGAGTTTCTTTGTATACAAATTATTATACGTAAGCACCAGAAAAGAAGGTGCCATCTTTATTTTTAGCGTACAAAATTCTATGTATAGCTAATCAACTTTGGTGCATCCATCTCTAGATGGGTATAGTATAGATTAGGTTCTGTATACAGTTACATTACAGAGATTAATAGCCAGCATTCATAGAGCATTTACCTACTGCCAAGCACTACTCTAAGCCAGGTACATATATTTAATTTTTTGTGTGTGGAGACATACATGTAATAAAATTCATCATTTTAACCATTTTTAAATGTGCAACTCAGTGGTGGTATTTAATACATTCACAATGCTATACTCCT